CCCAAGGTGGAGTTGTTCCCCTTAGGATCTGGTGTCTGCCAGAATCCCCCTTTGCATGTGCTGCTTGTGTGGCTAGATGGGTTGAGCTCTGGTATGATCTGAAGTCCTGCACTGGTTGTGTTGGTTCTGGGTCCACTTGGCAGGTTTCTAGTGCAGGTTTATGTCAGATACTGCAAGTAACTAGCCGTAGGCTACCTGCCTGGAGCTACCACCTACCTATTCACTGTTTGTGGCTGCCCCTATTGCACCAGCCTGTGTGTGTGTGAGGCCAAGCTGTATACAAGCATTGGCTTCCTCTGGCTCTGAGTTGGAGGCAGATCAATAAAAGGTCTAAGACACCCTGAGGTCCTCCTCCACCTGTAGGCCACTCTGTCACCTTCTGAGGTCACCTGGTCTTCCTCCAGAGCTTTCTGAAAAAAGGCTGCAGAGTGGGCCCAGGCTGCCACAACCCACAGACCCTTTCACAAGGTGTGACCTTGGTAGGGCAGGGTGACCCGGGTTGGGAGGACCAAGCTAGTGGGTCTCCCACAACAGGCCGTATTCTGAGTGAAGCCCATCCCACATGGAGCCCCTGTAGCTGGTCACCTATTTAGACCTGAGTGGTCTACCTGCACATCTGCTCCTACCAAAAGTTGTATGACTTCCAAGAGTTGGTTGTGCTTATTTTCAAATTTGTTTTTCCAGTTGTACTTGTCAAGATTATATAATCAAACATTATATAAATACAAAATATGACTACAAAAAAGTCTTGTAGATTGCTTAGGGAAAGACCCAATAAAGGTGGGTTGGCCAGCCAGTAACAGTATTACGTAACAATGAACAATAACATCAGTGGCACCAATAAACTGCTTCTGGATTTGGTGGAAGCAAGCAAACAAAAAACATAGGGTGGAGGGGTGAGAAAAATGCCTAGTATTCCAAAATCAATATGTACTACCACAGATGAAAAATAATCAACAATATAAATGTTTAGGAACAAAACAAACAATATAGTTTAAAAACTGGACAAGTTTTTGGAAAAGGCATTTTCAAATCCAAGTAGAAAGAAACTTCAATGACATTTTCCCCCTCTATTAACTGATCTTCTTGAAAGCCCAGTATCTTAGAAACAACTGATGTAATCTGAAAATGCACTTACAAGCCTGAGGATTCTGAAAAGCCACAGCTTTGTCAACCCTCAGCTGAGACTGAAGGGCAGCTACCTCCCAACGACGAAATTCAGGTGCTGTGGTGACATTGAGCAGGAACTCCATTAGAATTTCGCTACAGAAGACATCAAGATACAATTAGAGGAGTCAAAAATTTAAAACCAACATCCATTCTACAACATTAAACTTTAACCTTGTGGCAAGCAGTGTTTTAAGCGCTTGGCAAATAACAACCCAAAACCAAATTCAGAGGTCATAATGCCACATTTAGAACTGAGCAGCTTAGTATTTCTTTAAAAACAGATGTCCTAGCCCTGGCCGGGCAGCTCAGGTGGTTATGGCATCATCCCAATATGCCAAGGTTGCGGGTTTGATTCCCAGTCAGCACGTACATGAATCAACCAATGAATGCATGAATAAGTGGAGCAACAAGTCAATGTTTTTCTTTCTCTGAAATCAATCAATAAATTTTTAAAAAGCAGAAGTCCTAAACACATGCAGGTACTTACATGTCATCCCGCAGGCATTCTACAGTGTAGGCCATGTTTTCCCTTGTTGAAGTCACACTGCATCAGAAATAAATTACAGTGAATTATCTGAATCAGAAGCTTTCCCTTATATTTCTGTTAAATTAACCAGTTCCTTTGAAAAAATAATTTTGAAGTATAAAACAGTGTAAGTAATATAACAAAAAATACACATACTCATCAAGTAAGATTTAAAAATATTAAAAACACCCTGGCTGGTGTGGCTCAGTGGATAGAACGTTGGCCCAGGCACTGAAGGGTCATGCCACAGGTTCAATTCCTGGTCAAGGGCACATACCCCTGTTGCAGGTTTAATTCCCAGCGCCTGTCAGGGTGTGCGCTGGAAGCAACCAATCGATGTTTCTCTCTCCTCCCACCCACCCTTCCACTAACTCTAAAAATCAATGGAAAAAATATTCTTGGGTGAGGATTAATAAAAAAGAAACAAACAAAAACAACAATAAAAAATGAAGTTGTACATCTAAAACTAATACTGTATGTCAACTATAATTGAAAAATAAATTAAAAAGATACTTTTAGCCTGGCCAGGCGTGGCTCAGCGGTTGAGCGTTGACCTAGGATCCAGGCGATCGGGGTTCGATTCCCGGTCAGGACACATGCCTGGGTTGTGGGCTCGATCCCCAGTCGGGGGCATGCAGGAGGCAGCTGATCAATGACTCTCTCATCATTGATGTTTCTCTCTCTCTCTCCCTCTCTCTGAAATCAATAAAGATATATTAAAAAAAAAACTTTTAATAAAAAATAGCAAATAACATTAAAAAGGAAATTCTGACCCATTACACATGGATGAATCTTGAAGACATCACGTAAAGTGAAACCAGTCAGTCATAAAAGGACAAATACTGTATGATTCCACTTACATGAGATACCTAGGGTAGTCAAAACCACAGAGATAGAACATAGGATGGTGGTTGACAGGGGCTGGGGAGGAGGGGGTACAGAGTTAGTGTTTAGTAGCTACAGAGTTTCAGTTAGGGAAAGTGAAAATGTTCTGGAGACACATGGTGCTGATGGTTGCTCATGCCACTCAACACCATGGAACCCTACACTTAAAGTACATTTTTTTTTTTTTACCACAACTTAAAAAAGAANAGGGAAAGTGAAAATGTTCTGGAGACACATGGTGCTGATGGTTGCTCATGCCACTCAACACCATGGAGCCCTACACTTAAAGTACATTTTTTTTTTTTACCACAACTTAAAAAAGAAAAGACAACTTAAGTTGAAGATCTTTTTGTATCCTCCCCAGGCTAATTCCCTCACTCTCTTCCACTCCAGAGACAAACATATTCATAAGCATTACACATTGTTATTCTTTTAAAATATTATAAATGCCTCATACTTTAAAAATATCTTGAAACCTGTTTTTCCACAAAACATTTTATTTTTTTTAGTGTGCTCATTCCTTAGCTGATGAGTAGCAGCCCCACTATTTGAATACATCATACTTTAATTTACCCATTTCCCTAAAGGTGGCCAAACTGTTTCCAGGCTCTACAAAGACATCTTTGTGCATGTGGATTAAAAATGTTAGGTTGTAGTAGATGCTCGTTTTCAGTATTACTTGATATTCCTTGATTCCTAAGTAGTTGTATCAATTTATACTCCCACCAGCTGTGTAAGATAATCTCCATCGCCCGTAACACTGCCAACACAAGACATAAAAACGCTGATGGGGGCCCGGCCGGGCGTGGCTCAGCGGTTGAGCGTCGACCTAGGATCCAGGCAATCGGGGTTTGATTCCCGGTCGGGGCACATGCCTGGGTTGCGGGCTGCAGTCAATCAATGACTCTCATCATTGATGTTTCTATCTCTCTCTCTCCATCTCCTTTCCTCTCTCTGAAATCAATAAAGATATATTAAAAACAAACAAACAAACAAGAACTCTGATGGGTGTGGCACAGTAGCATGCTACTGATTACAAGTACAGATGGCTGTTTCTGGCTTCCTCTTCTGGGATTAGTCTGTTCCCAACTTATATCCATCCATCTTCTCTTTGGTTGTTCCCTCCCAATTTGTAATTCTTTATTTTTTCAAGTAGTCCTCTCCATATTATGTATGTTGCAAATTATCTTCTAATTTATTAAACAAAATTTAATTAAATTTTTATGATATTTTACATTTTGATGTAGTCAAATTCATTAGTCTTTTCCTTCTTGCGCCTTCTTTAAGAAATTCTTAACCACTTCAATAACAGAGATAAGTTCCCTTACAACAAAATATTTTCTGGTGTTTTCACTTCAAATTTCCTATTTATTTATTTATTTATTTATTTTTAACAAACCTTAATTTACCACCAACTGCTTCAATTCCACGGGTTATCTTAAAAGATGACGCTCCTTTTGTAGTCTTAAAAAAAAGGAACAATTGTTTTAGTAGTTTTTTAATGTTACGTTTGCTAAACAGCACATTATATCATAAACTAATAACCGTCATTAGATTCAAAGGGAACTTTACTGAATCAGCTGATCCTTTTTAGGTAAAGAATTATAAAACAAAGTTCATCAAAAAGCAAAAGTATAGATTTTTATATAAAGTACACTTAGCAAAAATTCCATTATCAAATATAAGCTTACTGGATTCATCCGTCTGTTCTGAAAGAGATTTGCATATGGGAAAAATATTTCCTTTCAATTTCTGGTATTTTCTTTTTTTTCTTTAAACTGGTTTCTCTTATGCTCTAGCATGAACATTCAGATGGACACTAATTTAATACTCCTCTGTGGTAAATATCCTGTGGTTTTTCATGTTATATTAGGGGACTGTATAGGGTTGACTAGTGCCCCCCCAAATTCATGCCCACTAGAACCTGTGACTGTTACCTTGTTTGAAAATAGAGACTTTACAAATGTATTTAAAATGAGATCACACTAGATTAGAGTGGGCCCTAAATCTAACAGGAATGGAGTAATCAAGTAAAAGGGAAATCTGGACGCAGAGACAGAGAGAAGACTGTGTGACAGAGGCAGAAACTGGAGTGATGCAGCTGAAGCCGAGGTACACCAAGGATTACTGGCCACCACTAGAAGGAAAAGGCATGGAAAGACTTCCTAGAGCTGGCAGACGGAGCATGGTTCTACGGACACCCTGAGTGGGACTGCTAGCCTCTAGAACTCTGAGAGGATACACTTCTGTTGTTGAAGCCACTCAGTTTGCAGTGTTTGTTACGGCAGCCTTAGCAAACTAATACAGGGACACTGCTTTTAGTTTTTCTTTTCTGTAGGACCAAGAGACTAGAGCATTTCTAAACATATTGAGGTAAAAGATGCTTACCAGACTGGATGCAAGACGAAGCAAATGAGAGGTTCCTAAGTTGTTAGAGTCCTCATACCTACTGCCTGCTTTAATGAACAAACCAATTCTTGATGCAGGAGCATAGTTTTCCAAAGATGCAATCACTAAACCATTTGGTAATTTGGTAAACTGTAGTTAAAATAAAGTAGAAAAAAATAAAATAAAGCAGAGATATGATTAATGTCTTTAAAGTACCAAGATAGTAAGGCATGTGTGGGTTCCAGGAAGCAACTCAGTGGGACTAACCTCAAGGTCCTGAGGATGTGCAGGCACTCCTGCAGGGGCAGCTGTGGCTTTCACTTTGGGAGCAACTTTGAGGGAATAAAATCTCTAAACATACAAAAAAGACAAGTTACACACAGTTCTCAGAAAAGCAGTGTATTGTATCCTAGTGTGCCCAAGCAATATAAGGTGTTCAGTGGTAAAAGAACTCCACGGGTAGATTCAGCTGATTAACTTACTATTAACCCACTATTTACCCAAGCCTCTCTTAAACTTCTATTTACTTGTGATCTGTAGAACCTGAAGGAATACCAAGTTCTACACGTTCACTTTTACTATGTAAAGAATTACTGTATTTTCTTTTACCTTTTAACTACCTTATTAAAGCTTCAAGTGGCTCTTTCTAGCTCTAATGCTTTAAAGTTATTAGAAAAAGTGTGGCATTGTCACATCTACACCCTTTTATAGAGTTTAGCATTACTGTTTCCCTTATCTGCCCAAAAAGTCTCATCTTTTTAGTCTATTTTCCAGTTGAAGTAACATCTCTGTAATCATTTTAGTAACCCTTAAAAAAGACAACGTATACCAAAGACACTATCATGCCCCAAATATTTCCCATGGTATATTCACTCTCTCGTGTGCTACACTGAGACTACACAATGAAGGGTTATTATATCTTCTTTAACTAGTACAAACTTTTGTCATCCTGAGATTAACAATAGCTTCATCCACAACAGAATCTCAATGTACAATATGCAGCCACTGACAAAGGGTGCTCTTAAATGTTGGATAATGAATCTAAAATGCCTAACTTTTTTGTCATCGATATACAATGACACAGAGTTCATCCCACCTAAGGTTTATGAGGTTACTAGTGGATATGTACGTTAAGAATTAATAAAACGTGGTACTCCCAAGACCAATGATCAAATATGAACGACAGAGGGCGTTTTGTTGTGCTTTCATTCAGCAGCAGTGCACTAATTGGTTCCTAGTGTTCACTTCCTGTTAGTACTTACAAATTACAATTAGCTTTGCTTTATCATCATCAATTCAGTTTGCTGGTTGTGCTATTGTTAACCCTACTTGTGACTTTGGCTTTTAATTTTCCAAAAACTAAAATTTAAGACATGGGCATAGCAGTTCAAATATGAGTAATCCATAGTTTCACTGCCAAGGGAGATTTAGGTACTTTTCCCTCAAATGTGCCTGAACAGTGATGCTTTGTACACTGGTTACGTGCTTCCTATTTGTCCCATTCAAATCAGTTGCAAAGAATTATCCTAGCGATTACTAGGTCATTTTAATAACAATACAGGCATAAGTTTATTCTTATGTAAAATGTTATAATTAGAAACATTAGTAATACTTTCAAGTTTACTAAATTTGTTTACATAGATACTCTCCAAATGTTACCTTTGAGGTTTTTTTCCTACTGGAAGGTGGGTATAAATGGAATGAAGATTTGGGGGTCTTTTGCCAGTCTAACTGGGCTGCCCCCAAAGGGTTGTTCATCATTGGTTTGTCTAGGCCAGGAAGGCAATTGCAGCCTAAATTAGGGCCATGTGTATAATCCATAGTGTATCTGTTTAAACATTAAGCTCAGGAAAACTCCATTCCCTGGTCTTTTGCACTTCCCTCTAGCAGGTTGCTAGATTACCTAATAAATAAGCGGGTTCTACTGTCATTTTGGGCTGGATATTTGTTTTGTGGAGGCTGCCTTTGTGCACTGCAGGATGTTTAGCCCCACCCCTGACCTCTAGATGCCAGCGGCACTTCTCTACAGCCAGAAATGTTTCTAGGTATTGCCAACTACAGTCTGGGGGCAGAACTAGCCAAGCTGAGCTTTTTAAAGGGTTCCCGATCTCCCCCTTGATAACCACCGCTCCGCAGTGACGTAACACTGACACCTGAGTTTCCCCCAAGTGACAGCTTTGTTTCGCTTGGGCTTGAAGGAGCCTTAAGTAGCTCCTAAGGACAGACCAGGAGCCCTCCTAGAGGAAGTCTGTAACCAGACCACGGAAAGCACACGTCATACGGCCAGGGCGCCGTCAGAACCAAGTTCTAGGTACAGTGACGACCGCTTCACCGGCATTAGCTCATTTCTTCCTTAAAACTTTCCTCAAAAGCCCACTTCACGGTTGGGGAAACTGATGCTCCACGATACACTACGAAGCCGAGGCC